CAAAGCAGCACAGAAACTGCTCCTTCATCCCATCTCTTCCTCCCCATTGCGACAGATACCTGTGTCTCACAGTGGTTGTAATAACTCACTGTGAAAACCAGCCAGGGCTGGCAAGAAACGGTTCCAAGTTCTGTGTTTCAGGATCCTGGATTTCCGGCGAATCCCCCCAGTTTCTGGCCGTTTGGTCAATATAACGAAGGAGATACGTGACATCACCACGGACAAGAAGCTGGCCAAGACTTTCTTCATCTCCCCAGGTGAGCTTTCATGCCGTCCGTTCTCTTCTGCGGCCACCTGCATGGAGCTCACCTGGCTCACCTGGCTGCTCCTGCCCTGGCTCCCCCCGCACCGGGGCAAACCGTCCCTTTGGGGACTGCTCCTGCCAGGTCCCCTGCCATGGGGCTCTGCTCCTCAAGGCCGCCTTTGCTATCGCTTTGCTGGTGGCACGTGGCTACGGTGCATGGAGCATCCTCACCCTGCTGCCTGCCGGACCACCTTGCATGGGGGTAGCAGGCTCATTGCCTTCCTGCTCTTTGTCAACCTTTGCTTTGTCCCCACGGCCAGCGGGCAACGTCTGCTTCTACGGGGAGTGCTCCTACTACTGCTCCACTGAGCACGCCCTCTGCGGCAAGCCAGACCGGCTGGAGGGCTCCATGGCCGCCCTGCTGCCTGACAAGACCTTGGCCAAGCGCCGCTCCTGGCGCAGCCCCTGGCGCCGCTCCTACCACAAGAGCAAGAAGGCTGAGTGAGCTGGGGCACAGGGGGCATGGGGGGCATGGGGGAGCGGAGCCGTGGGACGCTCTCATGGCCTCGTCCCCTGCCCTGGCCTCTGCCCGCAGGTGGGAGCTGAACCCCAACTACTGCGCTCAGGTGAGAGAGACGCCGCCCTACGACAGGGGCCATCGCCTCCTCGACCTCATCGACATGACGGTCCTCGATTTCCTTATGGGTGAGCCCTGCCGTGCCGGCACTGGGGGCTGCAGGGGCCCCTCGGGACCAAGAGGCCCGAATGGCACCGTGTCCCGCAGTACTGCGCCCTGCGAGGTTTTTTGGCCAAGCCGTTGCTCAGGCTGCAGAGCGCTGTGCTCTTACCCAAAACGAGAGCAAAGGCCTGTGCTGTTAGGGCACATCCCGGGCAGAAGCTGAAGGATGAGAGATGCCGGGGTGATCCCAGCTGAACACCCCGGGCACGGGAAGCGCCTCCAGGCAAGCTCCCACGTGCAGCCCCTGGGGAGCCGGGGCTGGCGGTGATGCTCCCCGGGGCTCGCGCTGACTCTCCCATCCCTGGGGCTGCTCCTTCCCCCCCCCCCCGCCGCTCCC